CACTTATTGTAAAAGATGCACAGCGTTGATCAAACATCGGTCTGATTGTATAATAATACGCCGCCGGATAGTGTTCAGAGAGTGTCATGTTTTCACGATGGAAGATGATGTCACTAGTCTTTGTCAAGAAATCAGCTTTCCAGTTTCACAGCAGAAAATCCTCTCAAATGCGGTTTAAGAAATAGTAGTGTTCAAATCACGAATCATTTTAAGGGTGATGTGTATTATTATATTGTATCAAGAGTGGAAACTATGTACAGAAAAAACACTTTGAATTAGAATCACTGAGTGTACGGTGAGAAGAGAAATCTGTAAAAATTGTGCAGGGATAAAACATACTATATGTTCATTTTTGGATATATATTGACCTCTGACAGCTTGTTAACGAGGACATCAGCTGGCGTTATGAATATGATGAGCGTGTTTGCCTGCAGGTTTATTGTCATTCTGCTCTGTTAGATCTGAACACACGACGGGCTCAATGCTAGAATAAAACCAATACTCAGCGTCTCGCAGTTATTATTGCATTTATACCTGTAAACGCTAGCAGTTACATGCATTTGAAGATCGTTCTGAAGTACCTGCACTGAAAAAAAACAATGGGTGTGGATACGGTTTTCACTCAGATATCGCACATTTCACAATGAATTACAACTAAACACTGAATTAAATGACATCTTGAAGTGGAAAGTCGAAAAACTCACTGCAGTGCTCTTCAGAAGTCATCGAATACAGCGCACACAGTCTGATTGGTTGGTTTTACGTTTGTTTATTGAGCTCTGGTACAGTAATACAGCGGTGGAGACAAATACTGGGTCCGGTTATATGGTGATGTTGTTCAGTGGCCAAGCAATACTAAAGCTTTCTGTCATACGAATTACATTCCAGAAGAAACAAAGCTGTAGGAAGGGAAACAAAACACAAGATAGCAAAGTCACTTCTGCTGGGCTGCTCTGTTATTGGCTGATATCAAACATATAGAAAAATAAAATCTACAGGAGTAACTCTACATCAAACTTTACACACAATTAATCTGGATTATAGACCTAATATCTGAGCTGGTTGTATTAAGAGTATGAACTTACCTTCATGTGTAAAAATAGAGTCTCTTATCAAAACAGTACTGTGTTTAATACTGAGTCTCGAATAGAAAACTGTTGGTCTATAATGCCCTCAATGCTTATTCATGGACTTCAGATCCCAGGGTTTATTTCTTACAAAAGTGTATTTATATAAAAGTGGATCGTCTGATTCATTTGTATTGTAAGGCCTCACGGCTCCACAAAAGGCATACTAAAGCAATCCTAAAGGTCTGTACAAAAGCATTCAGTGGCGCAAAATATGATTAGAAACCAGAAAATAACATGGAAAAAAAAAATCTATTCACAGTTTGAGCTTTTGGTGAACTAATATCATTTATATATATATATATATAAAAAAAAGCTCTGCTATTCAGTGACCAGTCTTAAAAGCTAAAACGAAAGATCTTAAAAAGTCAGGTCCCAAATTTGCCACAGTACAGTTTCACAGTTGAACTTATATAATCTATATATTAGATTTCATTCTTCACAAGTGCTGGTAAAAATGGGCATCGCTGTTAATGAAGTATTGCTTCTGATTGTGATTTCAGATTGATTCAGTGTGACTTAACTGACACTCAGAGGTTTGGATGAGAAACAGGGACGAGAAGTCGTCAAATAAATCAGACAGGATTAAAAACCTGCTGTTTGTGTGTCAGAAAATGTGCATGTCCTTTGAAAAATATCAATAAGGGAGGATGATTTCACACAATGAAATGATGGATCTGAATATTATCGCAAACGTGATTTGTTTTGACTCTGGTGTCCTCGTTTTAATCACTTTTAACCATGAGAAAGTTTACTCTAACTTTTGTTTTTAATGAAAAGGAATGTCTCATAAATATGTATAAATATGCCAATGAAAAGAAAAGGCTGAAATAAATACATCAGAAGAGTAAGATCCAAAAATAATAAAACAACTAATAAAAAAAGAGCTAATGAATGTTCAAAACAGCAGAAGTGGCAGTAATATAATAATTTAGAATGCAAAACAGACTTTGGGGGAAAGAAATAAGCAAAATATGATTTAAAAAAACAACAACTTCATCTGCTTTGATCTTTTGACCAGAGATTAAAAGGCTTGATCGTGCTAAAATACAGTTCAGTTCTCCAGTGACTATGAAGAGTTGAGATTTGGTGATATTCTTTTTCACATAAAGTGTAGCGCAATGAAAAAATTAAAATAATTGCAACTTTATTTCTCACAGTTTGGACTTTTTCCCCCCACAATTCTGAGAAAAGAATTAAGACAGAAAGTCGAAGTTGCAAGATATAAACTCGTAATTATGAGATATAGAGTCGGAATTATGAGATATAGAGTTGGAATTATGAGATAT